GATCTCGGCTCACTGCAACCTCCGCCTCCTGGGTTCAAGTGATTCTCCTGCCTCAGCCTCCCAAGTAGCTGGGACTACAGGCGTGTGCCACCATGCCCGGCTAATTTTTGTATTTTTAGTAAAGACAGGGTTTCGCCATGTTGGCCAGGCTGGTCTCAAACTACTGACCTCAGATGATCCACTCGCCTTGGCCTCCCAAAGTGCTGGGATTACAGGCGTGAGCCACCACACCCGACCTATTTTGAATTTCTTTGATGGCTAGTGAGGCTGAATGTTTTTCCACATTATTTGTACACAGCCTTTTAGGGTGGTGGATTCTGACCCCACTGCACATGCCTGGGCTCCAACATAGATGAATAAAATGAAAACCTTTGGGCATGACTTCCGTCCAGACTGGAACCCCAGATGGCTGCGCTCTTGCTGAGACATGTTGGTCATCATTGCCTCCAAGCCCACTTTAGCCCACAGCTCTGTATCAGAAATGCTGTTCCTTTGGGAACCATGGCCAAAAAAGAGATGGAGCAGTTCTGGAATAAGAATATAGGTTCAAACCGTCCTGTATCTCCCCACATCACTATCTACAGCTGGTCTCTTCCCATGGCGATGTCCATCTGCCACCGTGGCACTGGTATTGCTTTGAGTGCAGGGGTCTCTCTTTTTGGCATGTCAGCCGTGTTACTCCCTGGGAACTTTGAGTCTTATTTGGAACTCGTGAAGTCCCTGTGTCTGGGGCTAGCACTGATCCACACAGCTAAGTCTGCACTTGTCTTCCCTCTCATGTATCATACCTAGAATGGGATCCGACATTTGATGTGGGACCTAGGAAAAGGCCTGAAGATTCCCCAGCTATACCAGTCTGGAGTGGTTGTCCTGGTTCTTACTGTGTTGTCCTCTATGGGGCTGGCAGCCATGTGAAGAACGGAGGTTCCCAGCATCATCTTCCTACACCTTATTACATTCATCCATCTTTCTGTTTTTCATTCTTATCTCCAGCCTGGGAAAAGTTCTCCTTATTTGTTCAGATCCTTTTGTACTTTCAGATCCCCTTGGAGCAGTAGAGTACCTTGTAGACCGTAATAGTGGAAAAGGGTCTAGTTTTCCCCTTGTTTCTAAAGATGCGGTGGCTGCAAAAACTCCCCTTTTTTGCCCACAGCTTGCCAACTCTCGGCCTAGAAGCAGTTATTCTGTCTCCATATTGGGCTTTGATTTGTGCTGAGGGTCAGCTTTTGGCTTCTTCTTCCTGAGACAGTGGAAACAATGCTAGCTCTGTGGCTTCTGCCCTGGGGACTGGGGGTGAGGCTTTGGGTGCCACTGCCTGTGGGTTGCTGGCTTAAAGGACAATTCTGTTCATTGGTGAGAACCCAGGCCATTAACACCTACACAGTGTTATTGAAAGAAGAGAGGTGGGGGTGGAGGGGAATTAGTCTGTCCCAGTTAGAGGGAGATAAAGAGGGCTAGTTAGTTCTTGGAGCAGCTGCTTTTGACACAAGAAGATCCAGAAAATTATTGAACATATTAATGGTTATTTCTTTTTCTTGGATTTCCAGAAAAGCCTCTTAATTTTGTGCTTTCTCATCAAAGTCATGTACCCTTTTTTTCTGAAACTGAATTAAAATACTCATTTAAAAAAAAAAAAAACCTTTGGGCATAGGGTCTGTGGATCAACACTTTCCTAAAAGCATCCTTGTGTGATTCTAATGTGCATCTGAGGTTGAAAACTATATTTAGGAAAGAAAATTGAAAGAATTATTGAAACTCTACATTTATTTTTGTTTTCATTTCCCTGATCCCAGTCCCGACTTTCACAGACAATGGTTTTTTTTTTACATTTTCTCTACCACTTTTCCAGAGAAACAATTCCCTTGCTTTTTTCAAATCGAAGTATAGACAACCTGGTTTTATTTAAACACAAGCTAAAAGTTGTTCCTAAATTTTAAAATGTAAATATTGTGCCACCTCATAAAATTAATAGTTAACAAAGCCAAAAACAAGCATAGAAAATCTACATATTCTTCGGGCAAGGTAGGCAACAGAACTTCCGACTGAACCAATAGTTGTGACAAATTGCCAGCAATGACAAGGGAAGCTGTAAGTTCTCACCAGCTGTACTGCATCAACATGCTTTCCAAACCGTGTATAACACTACAGAGAGTACCCTTAATATCAAATAATAGGAGAATAATTAGGTGAAGTATAATATAGTCACTTAATAGGACATAATACAGCTGTAAAGCATGATGGCTGTGAATATTAGATAACAATGTGGGAAAATGCTTATAATGTAGTAAGTGAAAAGAGCATACAATAAACATTTTGATGTAGACAATGTTTAAACAAAAGATACTTATAAAAGGAATTAGAAGGAAATGCAATATCATAGTACTGGTCATCTTGGGAGTTGGGGATTTTCCCAAACTTTCTGTAATTAATTATTTTAAATAACAAATTGGCCTGGCATGGTGGCTCACGCCTGTAATCCCAGCACTTTCAGAGGCCAAGACAGAAGGATCACTTGAACCTAGGAGTTCGAGACCAGCCTAGGGAACAGAGTGAGATCTCTTTTCTACCAAAAAAAATTTAAGGAATAAATTTATTTTTTTAATAACCCAAATGGCAGAATAAGAGAGTAGCTGTGTGGCATGAGAAGTTAGAGACTTGGGTTTTAATATTCCAGTACAGGATAGGTGAAAGAAATTCCAGAAATGTAACACCCAATGGGGTTCTACTTGCCCACTGCCTAGACAGAGCTGATGATAATCAAGACAGGGGAATTGCAAGACAGAAAGAGATTAATTCATGCAGAGTCAGCTGTATGGGAGACCAGAGTTTTATTTCTCAAATCAATCTCCCCGAAAATTTGATGATTGGGTTTTTAAGGATAATTTGGTCAGTCGGGGGTTAGAAAGCAGGGAGTGTTGACTGATCAGGTCGAAGATTAAATCACAGAAAGTTGAAGCTGTCCTCTTGCACTGAGTCAGTTCCTGGGTGGGAGCCACAAGACCACATGATCCAGTTTATCCATCTAGGTGGCATCAGCTGGTGCACCTCAACACAGGATCTGCAAAATATCTCGAGCACTGATCTCAGATCTACAACAGTGACTCCTAAACCATAATTTCTAATCTTGAGGCTAATTTGTTAGTCCTGCAAAGGCAGTCTAGTCCCCAGGCAAGAAGGGGGTTTGTTTTGGGAAAGGGCTGTTACCAAGTTTGTTTTGAAGTTAAACTATAAACTAAGTTTCTCCCAAAGTTAGTTGGGCCTACACTAGGAATGAACAAGAACAGCTTGGAGGTTAGAAGCAAGATGGAGTTAGTTAGGTCAGATCTCTTTCACTATCATAATTTCTTCAGTTATAATTCTTGCAAAAACAGTTTCAGAAGTACATGTTGTATTATAAATGATGTCAAAACATCAGAG